TCTACCTCCGTTGAATCTTAGGTAAGTCCCTCGCCCTCTGCAAACGTAGTCCATTGAAGGCAAATTCGTGGCATGCTGCCACTGCACCTCTCTCTTGGCAGAAATCACTAATCGATCTTTCTGCCCTGACGAAGGAAGCATTGAAATCAGTCGTTCCCGGCACCAGCTGCACATTGGAGGACCTGGAAGCTTAACAAACGCCCTGATGCTTGGGCCCTACCCCCAAATATTTAGATTTAATTAGTCCGAAGGGCAGCCTAGGCACCGAGGTTTTTAAAAACCTCCCCTGGTAATTCTAAAGTATAGTCCAAGTCCAGAACTCTTGTTCCAAATCAAGGAGCTTGGGAAGCCACACTCCCAAAGCAGGTGAAATCAATGGTCATTCAGCTCTGAGCTCTGGCCACTCTGAGTGGTTCATGGATCAGGGACTTCTGGCATCCTTGGGTGCTGGTTAATGATGGACCATCTCAGCCCCACCCAGACCTGCCAAATCTGAACCTGTACTTTAGCCAGACCGCCAGGAATTCATGTGCATGCTGCATGGAAGGGACCTGGATGAGATGGTTCTGATGCGCCTTACAGCCCTGGCCCCTGTGATTTGGCCCCACCCACCGCCTTCCACTATTTAATGGGTGTGGATTTTAAGAGCTAATGTGGTTCAGGAACTGTCTATTCTTACATTGGTATGGCAATTTATGGTTTTTCTTTTTTTCTATTTTTTAAGATACGTTCTTATTTACAAATGTTTGCACCATAGTCTCTGTAAATAATTCTCTTGATACTAACCTCATCCGTAAAGCTAATTTCCCCCAAAGAATGTATAACAAGGAAAAAAAAAATGTCTTCCCCACCAAGTCAACTTCCTGGTAAAAGTCTGAGTTCATGCAGGTTCTTTCAATTGAGAGGCAAAGGCCTGGGCCTGCTTCCACTGGCCTTGGACCCGTGAGGGCTGCTGGGGTGTAGGTGCTTCGTATCCCCTTGCGGGGGCTCCTTCGACGCCATTAAAATGTATCAAGGGTCATCATATAGCCTTTGACTCTGTTTTGTTACTACTATTACTCTATCCCAAAGAAATAAACCAAAGTATGGTTAAAAGCTTTGTGGGTAAAATGTTCCTATTACAGTGATAAACATGTCATATGAACGTGAAATGATGAAAATACACAACAATAGAGAGACGTGTAGTTCCTCATTAGAATCCTGTTCATACACTTTAGGATCCATGCAGGGAGCTGTAGAGCAATGTGGAGCATACAGCCACATCTATGATTACAACTGCCTGTATATAAAAAGAAATTCATAGAAAAAGTCAGAAAGAAAAGATATAAGACATTAATCAAAGGTATATATAGCAGAAAAGAAAAAAAATCACCCACAGTCTCATCAATCTACATTTCGACGTTTTTCTATTTGCAAAATGTCAACATCCTTTTCATTGTGTGTATGTGTGGTTGTGTGTGTGTGTGGGGGGGGGGATTGTACTTTAACCGCGTGTTTATGTTGAGGTATTTTGTTTGTTTGTTTGTTTGTTTGTTTGGTGGTGGGAGATTTTATTTGCTAATTAGAGGAGGAAGGTAGGAAGAACACTAGGCATGATGATTCGCAGATGGGGAAACAGGTCCAGAGATGTTAGGCAATATGCCCGGGGTCACACAGCAGGAAAGTGGCCACAAACCAAACCAAACCGAACCTGGCTTCCAGATGGCAGAGTTTCCCCACATATAAACCACCACGCTACGTCACCGCACCTGTGCTTTTCTTTTTCTAGCCCTTCTTATGATGGGCTGCACCACATTTTTAAAAGTGAGTAATTGCTCGCAACACATTCAGGTATTTTCCATTTATAGTCTGAATTAAATAGCAACACAAGAGTTGATATTTATTGCAAACCAGCACTTTGCCCATTATAGCTGCCCTTATATGCCCTCTGTGGGATCCAGAGAGGGCAAGCTACTTGCCTGAGCAAACACAGCTCACAGGAGACAGAAGCAGGATTGGCACAAAGTCCGTGGGATGCCCAATCTCCCAGCAGCCATGCTGTTTGGCCTCTGTCAAGAAGGCCTCTGATGCCTCCAGAGGAGCAGCCTCGAGATGCTGGGCTGTTTACTGTTCCTGGGGCTCTTTGAGCAACGATTAACGAGTGTTTGAAGGACAAGGGCCGTGAACTTTGAAGAGAGTAGAGAAGGAAGGCTCCCTGAGGGGTTTGTTGTCCAAACATGCAACAGAAACCAGGGAGCAGCCAGGGCGGCTGAAAGGCTGGTGGGTGGCCTGTAAGCCTGCGGGGTCTCCTGTGCCTTCATGAGATGACAAATCATGTGACTTCCATGGCGAGGCCTGGGTCTTCCAAATTTCCCTCCCTGCAAGGGCTGAGACATGGGGCATCCCAGGGCGCTGCTGCCAGCTGGGGCTTCCGAGGGGCAGATGCTGGTGGGATTGGCTAGGTCCTTCCTGTTGGAGGATCACACTGTATGCCTCCAAAAGCTTTAGGTTCTTGGTGTTTGAGAATGCGGCCCAGGTTCCCAGATGGATTCCTGGAGCAAAACTTGCCGTCTAATACCTCCTCCGCAAGAGGAGAATGGGCTTTGGGCAGTGCAGGCTGAAGTACAGACCTCGTACTTTTGATATGACATGTCAATTACTTTCAATGTGACATACACTTTTCATGCTCTATTTTAAGCAATCCTGAAGCAACTCCACAAGGTGAGGACCATTATTATCCCCACTGACAGGTGAGCAAATTGAGGCTCAGGATGGTGAAGTAACTTGCCCAGGTGACGGGCTGGGGTTTAGTCCTGGGCAGTGCAATCTGGACTTTAACTGCTTATATTAGACCTCTGACGTCACAGCACAGAGGCGACAATCTGGGCTCTGCCAGGAGACGTCCTGGCTCTGGCTCTTGACACTATCACCTTGTCACTTTCCAGCAGTCTTGTCTTCAGAGATTGCCTGACCTCTCTTTGCCTCAGTTTCCTCATCTAGAAAATGAAGACAAGAATGCCTGCCTCATGGGGTTGTGGTGAGCGTCAGATTAGCTTTTTCCCTTAAGCTGATATAACAGCACGAATCTCCTGGCACCTGGCAATGCCTCCATGAAGCCTACCTGTTATTAATCCAATTATTATTAGGTAGAGCTGAGCTTCTTCGGTCATCTTCTCTCTGCAAAATCGAACCGATCTTCCTTTCCTTCCGTTTCCTCGTGTTAAGTGTGGACAATGACAGTCAACTTCAAGGTCATTGAGAAAATGCGAGACGACGTAGATAGAGCCGCTGTTTCAAATATCAAGTGTCTGCAGGAACCTCTGGACCAGCATATTTTTATTTCAAATATTCACTCTGTCTTCAGATGGGCTTTCGGGTCCTTGCCTAGAGCACGATTCTCTCTGACAATAATCGTGTAACCAACATAAAATTTAATATATTAAGTATAGCAATCAACCAGGAGAGGGATAGCCTTTCTAAGTGCTGGTATTTGGTAATAAAATGGGGGAAGAAACTAGGTGAAGCTTGGTGGATCTCTTATTATAAAAGAAAAGGAAATAGCCTTCCATTTAGGCCGATGCAACTTTCTGAAAAAGAAAAGAAGGGAGAGGCTTAATAAGAAGTTATTTTTTAAAATCATGTTTGCTTAGGAGCTATCACATTCAATTTGTGACGTCAGAACAAAGGAAATGAAAACTCGTATTTAGCGGAGTTTAAGTTGATTTCAGCCGGTTCCAACAGTGCCTGAGGGGCAGTGGTTTTTGTGACTGTCCCCTCGGCCTCTGAGTCCACATGCCATTGTGAAGGAGCAGGAGGGGGTGGGAACAGAAAGCCCAGAGGACCGTTTCTGCCACCGCCCAAATGGGCTTTTCTCATTAACCCGCAGTCACACTCGTCTGATAAGTCAAAGAAAAGTAAAGATGGATCCTGAACCCACGCATGCCAGTGCGGGAGGGATGGAAATCCCTTGGCTTTGCTAATTGGGGTTCTCCTCTCATCTCAGTTGGGTTCTGCTCTTCGTCTGAGCAGACAAGATAAGAAGGAAACGGGTTTTCTAACAAGCCCGCCTGGCAGGGTTGGCCTGCCAGGACACTTGTAAGTGTCCCCAGTTGGCAAGAATCCTTGTCTGTGGGGCAGTAGGCTCACTCTCCTCAGAAAACATCAGTGTGGTGTCGCTGAAGGTGACTCGCAGCCCCTCGCAAACCTAGCTGCAGACGAGCTGGGATGTCGCTTGATCCTTTACTGGGAAAGCGTTTCCTTCTGAGCTGCCGACCTGTTCGCTCATCAGAATTAAGAAAGTTCTGGCCAGCTGGTCACGCTCCAAAACCACAATTGCTTTCAGAAAACAGAAGAATCATCAATTTTCTGAAGGCCAGTGAATGTTTTATTGCATGCTTAGAAATCATAAAAATCGAATCAAACAGCATAAAATTGTGTCCCTTTATTGTGCCTTTTCATCAGAAGGGCTTGAAAAAAATAAATAATGATATATCAGAATTTTTTACGTGGAAATAATATTTTTTAAAAAACTCAAGAAATTGGTAAATTAAAGCAAGGAGATGCTAATATAAGAAATTTAAAGTCCCCACATAGCTAACAGCCCAAACTCAAAATAATGTATAGCACTGGTAATGGATGTTTTCTTCTATCTGAATATAAAAAAGTATTATATGTTATATTGACATTCGGGCTAAATCTTTCCCTTATAAGGTGTTTGACATAAATAGCTTTTATTATGTAACTGTTAAATAGAAGGAATACACACATTTCTTAAAGGTCCCAGCTGCTATTGTTATCATTTGAGACGTAAAATTGGAATCCTAACTTCCAATATCAAATTTTAGCACAAACCGTATAAAATATATCTTGTCAGAATGTGTCAGAAACACTAAGCTCTTTCTAGCTGAACGCATTGCAGCTGGTGCTTCCTTCTCAAGGTTGAGAATCGACTTTGTGAGTCGTCCGGGGTTAGGCGGCCGCTTGGTTTCCACCCTGCTACAGGGCTGGCTGGGGAAGGCGTGGGTTCAGATTAGCCGTGTCCTACACCGCTTGACCGGAGTGACACGAGTCTGCAGGGCCGAGCCCAAGGCCTGGAGATAGGAGCAGCCAGCAAGAATGCCCGGAATGTTTGCCTTCCTTCGGACTCTGCGGAGGCACACAGACCATGGGGATTCTGTCTGCGGTGACAGCCTTAACATTTGCCAGAGCCCTGGACGCCGCTGTAGAAATGGCATTGCCCACCCTGAAAGTGAGAAGGTAACGTTTATTTTTGTATTTTTTTCTCTCTCTCCCGTATACAGACTGTAGAAAGACCACCAAGCGTGGGCCATTTTTTTTCACCGTGATGTACAATTCACATTTGTTAATCAAAAAAAAGTGCCCGAGGTCATCCACCTAGACTTTTTTTTTCCTTCTTAAACAGGAAACGGGTTTCAGATGTTTATATGTTAAAAAGTAGGGCTACTAATCTGTTTAGCCATTTACCAGACCCTGGCTAACTCTCTTTTTACGTTTTAACGTTCAAACCTCATAGCGTGACATTCGTTTTTATCCTCCTTGTTATTTAGAATTAAAAAAAAAAAAAATCTTTCAATAGTCACCTGTTTTTTGGGGCAGTTCCAGAGGAGGTTAAAATAAATGAATTCGGCAGTTTAGTGAAAGCTGTACCCTAACAGCACTGGTGCTGTGTTGTGTTTGAGAATTCAATGCTCTCAGCCAATTCTCGAAAACAGACCGTGGTTCCAAGTATTTTCATGTATTTGTATTCACAAACAAATGTCCGTTTGAGTATCTTATTTACATTCAGAATAGAGATTCACAAAGGCACATAGTTAAAAAGTCTATAGCAAATGCAAAAAAATATTTCTTTTAAATATTGGATTTTTTTTTTTTTGATCAAGGTGATGTTTTCCATGGTTCTTCTTGGAAAGAGGTTGTGCACAGTAACAGAGAGCAACCATCTTTCTGGGGAGCCCACCATCACTTGAGAGGGCTTCAACCTGATTTTTGGAAATAAAGGTTTTTGTTTTATTGCTGGAATTTTTTTCCTCGTCTTGGGGCTGTTTATTTTAAACAGTCACTGCTGGCAAAAATGTCTCCCTGTTTAGTATGGCAAGTCGATGATATTTTTTTATGTTGGACAGGTTTACATGTTTATAATCTGGGAGGAAGGAGAGCAGATAGGGAGATTTGAATGCTTTTTAAGTGAATTGCTTAGCATTCGAATCACTGGCTAAAAAGACTATGTTAACCATAGAAGTCCAAGCAGAAAGAATTTATCATTTGCTAAATCTGGATCTGATGGCCCCTACTGTTTACTCGCCTGCATTTGACTGAATGCTTTCTGTCTGCAGGTCGTGTAAGGAGGCAAAATAATGGGTTTTGTAGACATTTCATCAAGGAGAGAGAAAGAGCTAAATTGAAATGAGCTCTTAAAATCAGCCCAGTATTCTCTGGCTTGGTGAAAAAGGTATCTGTAAAGATGACAAGGAATCATTCTCAATTTCTCTGCAAACATCTCCCTTCCCCCCATGCTTGTGTGTGTATGTGCATTTCTATGAGGCAAAATACATTTGTTTTTCTTTTCATCAGAGTTATCAGAAATGGTTGGAGAAAAGATTAGTTCAAATGTACAAATGATACGTAATAAATGTCCAAATTCCTTTAAATAGGGTGGAATGGGTATGATAAAACGAAATTTAAAGTTGGTATTTTTCGACAAACAAAAAACCCATTTTGATTTCTCAAAGCGTGTTTTAACTCGGTATTCAGAGGACACAAGGCTGCCGAAGTGTAGGTGTGAGGGACTCCCAGCAGGGGACCCAGTGACAAAACAGTGACAATACCACCTGCAGTGACATGTCAACAAAAATAACAGAAAGCGGTTCCATTTGTGAAAGGAGTTCCTACAAAGCGCATCCCTCAGAATGTAAGTGCCCGGCGGAGGCCGACCCACGCGGCGCAAACACCTCCATCCCAGGTTCACTCTGGAAAACTGTGTCTGTGTTACCTGAGAACCCCGAATAAGGAAAGGATCTGCTTGGCAGGACCCCGTGGAAAGCGCCGGGGTGCTGAAACAGCGGCGAGGACCCTTGGCGGAGACCCGCACAGCTCCCGAAAGGCCGAAGAACAAACTGACAGAAGAAATTAGTGTGACGAGAGGTCAGGGGACAGCCACAGTTTCGGTGACAGCGAAGTCCCCCCATCTGGACGGGACACAGGGCTTTGGGCTAAGAGGTTCCTCAGCCCTCCTATGTGAAAATCATAGGAGACGAACCACTTTGGGTCAGTCCTTTTTTTTTTTTTTTTTGTACCTCTTTGGCCCCAGGAACATTATGAACAACAACAACAAAAAAAGATGAAGTCTGCAAATCCAGGGCAATCACCATGTCAGCTTCGGAGCCGAGATGTTTCCCGAATGCACACCTGGACGATGTAAATCACTCCAGCGGTAAACACTTCAGGCCTGGCCGAAGGCTGCAGGCGGGGTAGGCGGCACCCTCCCCAGCCAGGTCCATAAACCCGGCAGGCCTGCACCCATAAACGCCCCCTTCACCAGGAAAGACCCCCTCCTACTCTGGAGTAGAGGCCCTTACAGAGGTCGCACCGATGATGAACAGAGATACTCAGACCCGCTCCACTGGCTGACTGGCCCAGGGCTAGGATCAGGGAGTGAAGCTGACAGTGTTTTATGTCATTATGGATGGCTTTACGATATCTAAAGGGGGCACCAGGGCCACAAGTTTCAAGGTGGCTATTTTCGAAGGCAGCATGCAAAGAGAAAACCTACAAAAAGATTTACTTTTTGATATCTTGCTAGTAAAAATCATAACAATAGTAACAGTAATAGCAGAAAGATCTATATGTAAAACCCCAAAGTTAGTAGAAATCAAAGCAGCATTCCTTCTTTTTATGACATATTGAATTAAAATATTAAAGCAACTCTTCTCCCCACTGTCTTAAAATCCTTGACTCCTAATGAATGACCATCCACTTGTTATATAAAACTCCCTGAATGGGGGAAAGCAGATGGCAGAATACATTTTGAAAAGAACACCTCCATGGGAATTTCTTTACATTTTGGTGCTCTACTTAAAAAAAAAAAAAAAAGAAAAAGAAAGAAAGAAAAGAAAGAAAGAAAAAGAAAAAAAAAAACTTCTTATAATTATCTGGTTAGGGGGAGTCTTTGCAATGATATTGTCTGTCTTCAGCCAGACAGACGTGAGGACACGCAAAGTAAACATTATAAAAGCAGCCTTCAGTACAGCTTTTTATGGCTCTATTCCTTTCCACCCACAGCAAAGCGTAGAGAAATGCAGAGAACTCGAGAGCAGTTACTCTGCCTCCAGGATCAACCTTGCACCAAAGAAAAATAACCCAGAGAAATGATTCTGCCGCCCGAAATGAAGCCGGGATCAAATAGCTGCTGATCAGAGCAAATATTTAAATTGGATAAGTCGAATTGAGCATTATTAAATAAAGCTCATTTAATATGTCTCGAACAGAAAACATCTTTTGATGAGCATTTTAAACTTGATATTAGAAATCTGGCTGACGGCATGGCTTGGGTCTTAATTGGTGAGCACAGGAATTTGTGTTCTTATGACAAAAAGTGTGATGTTCTCCCTTCGCAAATTATTTTTTTTTTCCACGTATAAAATGAAAGCAGAAAGCTTTGTAGGTAGCTATGGAAAACTGTTAATGCAATGTAACAAATATGAGACAACTGACCCATGTTTTAATGTTTATTCATCAGACAAAGTGCAGCCTGGCCACCTCGGTGACATGGGTGACGTGCGTGCTACGAGCCGGGAACACCCGCGTGCGGGGTGCAGCGGGGTAGCAGCTGACCCGTGCTCTCGCCAAACCTAAAACCACTCTCTAATGGGTTTTACAATATTTACGTTTTCAATTTTATTTATAGGACACCAGATGTCTACATTCAAAAGAAAAAAAAAAAACCACTTGGAATATAAAATCCCTCCCTTCCCCACGTTTGCTATAGCTTACTAGGTATGTGTGCTTTCTCATTTCCCAGTGCCACGCATCCATGTGTGCAGCCAGATCAGAGCTGGGGTCTCCTCAGAGTTTAGGGAGGTGGGAGATGGGGTGTTGTTTCATTTTCTGCTAGACCACGGGCATGTCCTTATTTCTCCTTTTGTAAAAAGGGAGGTGGCTGATAACGTGCCGAGGCTCGTCCCAGTGATGAGATTCTTTGCCCCTCTCGATAACCACCCCTCGCTCATTAAACTTCGACATATGGGAACAGAGCATTTGAGAATCAGCTCTAAGCCAGACCTGAGAGGGCTGGTTAAGTCCTTCCCAGGCCACAGCGTGAGTGCGAGCTTGGGGACGTGAATTACTCAATGTCTTTCTTCTTTCATCTTTAAATGTTGCCTTAGAATAGTTGGCCCATATTGAGGGCAATCTAAGGTGCTTCGAAAGTACAAGTTGATATTTTTATTCGTTGTATCATTTTTGTTGTCAATGGACTTGGCACATGGGTTCGACAGGAATCCACGATGGACAGACCCACCCTGACTCTTCTGCCTGAAATTGAGTCACGACTTCTCTCTAAGCAGCGCAAGACCCTGCAGATTCCCTCCATGAAACCTCCTCTTCCTAGGGCCCTTGCTTGTGAGATTTTCTTCCCATCCCCCAACACAGAGGAGCAGTTTGCTTTTCAGCTCAGACCCCGGTTCCTTCCTGTGAAGTCACACGGGACAACAGTAGGGGCAGCAAAGGAAAGTGTCCTGCGAACGTGTTGGTGACGCCTTGCTGGGAGGTGGGTACGGAGCGATGGCCCCTGGAGCCCTGGAGGGAGGGCCGGGTGCTACTCTAGGCACATTCCACGCATCACCTCCTTACTCCTGGAGAGGTGTCACTGGCCCCTTCTTAGCAGACCTCCTACCCACTGTGCCTACTGCTGCAGGGACAGTGGCCCTGGTGACAGACATTGAGCAGCACAGCAGGACAGCAGGTAGCCTAACAATTCCTTCTCCCCTTAACTTTTCAGACCCTTGTCATCCAAAAGGGAAAAGTATAGCTGAAAATGCCGTATGAAGGAGGTTCTCCAAGGGAGACCTGGGACTCTGGGTGGGGCAGACAAGCTGCTTTAGAAAAGCCCTATGTCCTGCTTCAATTCATCAAGAAGACCAACAAGGGAGCCTAGTTTCCATTCCCAACTGCGGCTGCACAACCTTACACCTCGCGAGCATCAAAGCACGAGAGACCGAAGGCCCGGAAGGAGGAGGTATCTGTAGGACTGGATGTGTGGCCTGCTTGGGACACAGGGAGGAGACACTAGAAAGGCCAGGGGACGGGGTGACAGATGGACTGGCGAAGAAGAAAGCTTCAGGGTTAGAGACCGTGGCGAGGGAGAGGCGGGTGGTGCCCTAGGGGGCTGAGCAGAGAAGACCGAGTCTGGTGGGGGTGGGGTGGGGCCGGCTGGGAAGAATGGGGAGATGAAGAAAGCCTGGCAGGAAGGGCTCGCAGCGGAGGGGAAGGATGGGGAGGCAGCTGGGATCTCGGCTTATTCTCCCCTTCACCATCTGGCTGCCCACGTCTGCCAGAGACACCTAGTCTCCTGCTGTTTCCATCCCCAGCTTCCCATCCCCCGTCTAGTGGCCCGTAATCCTGACTGTCCTTCATGACTCCCTAGAGAGCACGGCCAGGCGCGCCGCCCCAGAGATTTGGGAAATGTTAGGCTGGGCATGGGACCCGGCTTCGGTAGTTTTTACCAGCTCGTGGTCGGCAACCGAGACCCGCTGCCTGGAGCCTAAACTTCGACATTCAGATTTCTGATGTGAGCTTCCACTCGACTAACCAGCGGCTTCAGCGGCTTTGTTTGTTTTTAATTCACACACTCGGAAGACGCGCCGTCTGGGTGGTGGGCTTGCCTTGCTGCAGAGGCCACGGCATCTATAAAGAAGCATCGTCTCTGTCATACCAGACTTGGGGGAAGCGGTGTACCTTAGCGAGGGTGTTTCGGGTTGGGTCTTGGTGAAGCGGAAACACTCTCAGCGTGGGAAATATTTCCAAGATGACTGAGTCTGCTCTGTCCCCTTCGCTGGTGGGGTCTGCATGCAGGAGCCCTCTTTAACTCGTGCACCCCACCCCAACCCAGGGCTTCGCCATCCAAACGGAGACAACGAACAGGACCAGCCCAAACAGGTTCTGAGCCGAGAATGTGACTTCCACGGGGCTGCCTCGTGTCGGCACGTGGTTTTCTCTTTCTTGGTAAATGTACTGAGACAAAGCAAAGAAAACTTAAAAATCTGCTGGAAAGATCCAAACCTGGATGAGTTGAAACATACATGCCAGTTATCTGCTCTAAGTAACGATGATCTTCATTAGCCCGCTTGCTTTCTTGTAAATCGCAAGCCTCATTAAAGAGAGTTGACATACGTAGAGTATCTAGAAACCCAGCCCTGTTTTGGGAGCCTCCCATGGCTTAATTCATTCCACAGTGGCAATGACCCTTTGGGGCAGGTATCGAATCCATTTCCCAGCTGAGGTAAGTGAGGCACAAATGACTTGTTCAAAGCACACAGAGTAGGTACCCGAGGTCTGATGTGAGCCCAGGAGGTCTGGCTCCACGGGTCAACAGTACCGAGAAGAGAGGATGGCATTGAACTAGAAAATGTCACTAGTGTTAAGTCAGATTTCTTAGATGGTGTCAGAGCAACAGCCCCAGCCAGCTCTACTGCTCCCTGTGAGGCCTCAGTTTCTCCTTTCATAAAGTGAGACCGGCAAGGCCGACAGCTCAGTGGTGCGGAGGGTGCCCCCGCCCGTGCCTGGAACCCCCACCCTCCACAGGCAGGGACATCGATTCCCTCCTCCATCCTTGGGCATACAGATTGTGACCAGCTGGGGTCTGTTTGTTCTCAGGGAAGAGAAGAACCCTTTCTGAAAATACCAAACCAGTCTTTGCTGGGATAAACCTTCAGCCTTGAGACAGAAAGCAAATCACAACAGGATTTAAAAGAAGCAGAAGGGGCCGACGTGGCAGACCCTCGGCCGTTCTGACTCTGGAAGCAAGAGGACTTTCGGTTCCAGTTTGTCTACGAGATGGTGGGAAGACACACTGGCCCCTCACTTTGTAGAGATTTGGGAAATCTCTAAATCCCATCATGCTCAGAGGACAAGATATCTCAGCGTTTCTTCGCAGGGGCTATGGTTTCTGCAGAGCCAGGGCCCCCAAAGCCGAACTTCCCACAGTCTTGGAGTCCAAGGGCCAGGCCCCAACTTCCCAGGGGTGCGCAGGGCCGAGCATGCGGCAGCCCGGGTCCAGAATACCCTCCTCATGAAGACCTGCCATTTAACCTCAGCTTTGGGAGACCCCCAGCCCCTGAGCTGTAACATGGGCCAAATCCTGTTTCTGAAATGTGGCTGTGAAGCCTCCATGTTTGTCAAAGCCCAGCTCAGAGCCTTCTGGAGTCTTCCACAGAGTTGAAACAATAATAAACAAACAGCACAAGTAGGGCACTTGCCCATGAACCCAATCTTTATGCCAAGCGGAAGAAGAAGGTACCACTCTGAACCCTTTTTCAGATGTGAATACCGAGGCACAGAGCAGTCGTGAAATTTAAACAAGGTCCCACGTGGAGCTGAGACCTGAACCCGGGCCCTCTGGCTGAGGGGCCTTAACCATCAGCTTTTCTAGTCTCTCCAGGCACTCAACACACAAGAGTTATTATTTTTGTTATTTTGTCAAAGATAATTTTCAAATTTTTGAGAACTTTTCATTTTGAGCTCTTTGGAGAGTCAAATTTGGTTTTAAGGAATAATGCCAAGAGATCCTTGTACCCTCACCCAGTTTCCCCCAGTGGTGACATCTTCCACCCCAGTAGTGACACTTTGCCATAACAATAGTACAATTTCACTTCCAGGAGATGACACAGGTACAATCCACCTGTGTTATTCACCCAAAATGGCAAAAAGGGATCTGAGGGGGCTTGATGGAGCACGGACAATGCCTGCTCAGCCTCCGCCTTTAACCCGCCCTCCCTTCCTTCCTTTTACTTAGCACTACCTGACATCCGAATATCTGATGTTTACATCTCCCCGGAGAATGTAAGTTCCATGAGGTTGAAGATTTTTGTCTGTTGGGTTCTCCGATGTATCCCCAGTGCCTAGAACTGTGTACAGTGCGTATGGCTTTAGTGTGTATTTTTAAACGGGTGTATAGATGAATGATGCTTTCTCATAGAATTACAGAACCTCTCTGAGCTCCCTTCAAAAATCTGTAAAATGGACGGAACGCTCTCCACCTGCAGGGTGCGGTGAGGAGTAGGCGAAGTAAGGTGTGTGTCAAGCGTCTGGCATGTGGTGTCCAGCACTGTGGGCTGATCCCAGCACTGTGGGCTGAGCTATGCGTCCTCCCCAGATACACAGGGAAACTCCCTCTGCGTGCCTGGCCTGTGTGGCTGACCATGCTGGAAGCCCCGCTGCTTCTCTCCGGGGTCTCTAAACTTTGTCTGGCCCCTTAATGGGCTGTGCTCTTTCAA